TGTAAAATCCAACGCAATTCACGTAATCGTCAGTGTTTACGATTGTAAGACGTTTATAAGATGCGTTCCGTTTCATATACGTGCATTTGTCCATAGTAAACATTACGTATAGTATATAGATCATGTGCGCATATGCAAAAAAACGAAATGTTCATAGCATGCTGCAGCAAAAAAGGGGATGCGCACAACAGCTGACAACAGCAGGGGTATGTTCCAAAATCCTACTTTGGTTACCAAAAACTATAGTACACGTGACGTAAACTATAGCATTTTTTCCATTATATGTAAGATTAAAACACTGTAAATGTTTGTAATTATTTGTAAGACTAAAACACTAAAATCATGAAAAAAAATTTAACTTTTATCTTGTTAATTATTTTTTTTATTAACTTAACTTTTAATCAATTAATTTCATTTTGGATTAATTTATATCTTAACTAAATAACCTTTTTAAGACCTTTACCTGTAACTTAACTTAAATAAAAAAAAAATTTAACTTACCCAACCTTGTAAATTACACATTCATAAATATCCATATTATTGTGCGCAGACACAACAATATACATATATTCAATTACATATCTTTTTATAATCTTTATATAAGTTCAAAAATATTTTTATGTATTGTAAAATATACAAATAAAGAAAATAAAGCTTATGTACTTTAATCTATAAAAATTTATAAATATTTGAAACCTTCATATAATTAGTTATAAATATTAGTTATATACATATAATACAATGCTATTAATAACGTAACAAAAATGTAACTTTTATATGTAATCGCTACATAACAAGTGTTATGTAACATGTTACATTTATGAGTGGGAAATACTAATGTTACAGTAACATATCAGCAACATTCGTGTAACATTATCTAAAACAATTGATTTTGTTATATCAATGTAACATTTATATAACAGTGTTTTGCGGGGGGCGATTAATAAAGTTTTTGTTCTGTGTGGGAACATACAAAACTAAATCATTCTAAAATTATATAGAATGTTATAATTTCATAATTGAAAATTATAATATACCGACCCCTATACTGTATAAGATAAATAATACTCATAATAATGTTAAAAATATAACATAATAATGTTAAAAATCAATCTGTAATGGTATTTTAATTATAAATAATAGTCTAAATTATAAAATATATATATATTTATTTATAATAATTTATACTTAATAATAAAATTATAAATGTGCAGAGATAAACGCAGCCCAAGTCTGTATTCCTGGCTTAGATCTGCTCACGGCCTTTTTCGCGCGAAAAGAACGAATGAAGTTAAGCAGAACACTAACATGTGGTAAGTACCAGGCTTCACAAATTACGTACATTGATTGCAAAAATCTGACACTATATCTGTAATACAGTCACCGATTACACACTAATATTTTATACGCAATTCTAATGTTTTAAGATATTGCTGCAACATTGCTGGAATAATATTTCCAAATAATGTTTTTGCAATATCTCTGCAACATTCCACCGCAGTTGCAATGTTGCAACGTTGCAGCAATGTTGCTGCAAGGTTCTGTGCTGTATGGGAAAGTACAAAGGATATGGAATCTGACGAAATATCGATCTCATACAGCATCGCTTCAAAATGGATTATTCTGAAGATAATGGATTATTCTGTAAAAAACGAGATCAATGGGAAAATGAAGAAACACAATTTTTCCCAAATTTAATGAGAAAGCGAAAAATGATGAAATGTTTGGATGGAAAAAAATGTCGAAGGAACAAAATATTCAAATTACTGGAAAAGCCCATGTACGAAAAAGGATATATGAAAACCCACAAACAGATGCAAACAAAATATAGTTTAAACAAGTTGTTAATAATTTCCATTTTTGTAAATTTCACAATCGCAAAACGTAACTTCTTCTATCTGTTATCAGTTACGGAATGTCCTACAACAAACAGTTTCAAGCGCCAAATCTTTTATTTGCTTAAAGAAGATGGTTACAATTGAAGAGTGGCTATTAAGAAACCGTACATCAGCGAAACAAATAGAAAAAAACGTTTAACTTTTGCAAAAAATATGATTTCCAGAGAAGAGTCATGGTGGAGCGATGTTATTTTCGTTGATGAGTCGAAATTCAACATATCTGGATCAGATGGACGACATATGGTATGGCGTAAGCCGAATACAGCTCTAAATCTAAAAAATTTGCGAGCTACTGTCAAGCATGGTGGAGGAAACGTTATGGTCTGGAGTTGCATATCGAATAGAGAAGTAGGAAAACTTGTTTTTATTGAGGATACTATGGATAAGAATAAATATTTACATATTTTACAAGAAACTTTAATACCGAGTGCAGTCAGTATGGGTATTGAAAGAAGCTTCAAATTTTACCAAGATAATGATCCGAAACATACAGCTCGGATTATACAAGAGTACCTACTGTATAATTGTCCAAAAGTCTTACATCCGCCTCCTCAGTCCCCAGATCTTAACCCTACAGAGAATTCATGGAACGATTTAAACAGAAGAATAAGAACAACACCTACATAGAGTAAGGAAGAATTGAAAATGACATTACTAAACGAGTGGGAGAAAACAAATATAGAATATCTTAAAAAAATTATATTTAGTATACAAAAACGTTTGAAACATGTGATAAAACATAAAGGTTATGCTACTAAATATTAAAAAGCAAAGTTTAGTTTCTAAAGTATTAATTATGTATAATGTCCGAATATTTTTATAACTCAAAACTTGACTGTGATTTCACTTAATTTATAACATTATTTTATTACATTAAGTTAGTTAATTAATACAGGGAAGTAAAGAGATGTCACCTCAGGCTCTCCTTCAAAATTATTGTTTAATGTTTAAATTTAACGGCCGTGTAGAGCCAATGCAGGATATAATGCAATAATAAAAACTTAAATAATTTTTTCTCAAAGCGTTTCGACTTTATTTCAAGTCCTTATCAATTGAATCTAACACAAAAGAAAATTATTTACAGATAAACTTCAACATTCTAAAACTTAAAACATTACAAATAATATTACAATCTGACATACCTGAAACAATGGTGTACTTATCACATGTTAATTGATTAAAAAAAAAAAAAATGAAATAATGGTGTACATAATCACATGTTAAATGAGATAATAATGTTCAACAATATGCTAGAGCGTCCTTCAAAGAATCAAGTCATACTTGTTCACGCACGCAATCAGTACTGAGTCTAAGAACTAGGATCGAACGGAAAGAGAATCATTCCCTCTATGTATTAAAACGTACTTTGTCAAGAATAGGGATGTAGGTACGTATCATGTAACTCTTCGGTGTCTCTCATAAGGTTTAGACCATGTTCTAGTTTTTTAATATGTAACATTTCAGAAGTTTGTCTTTTGTAATAATTCTGTTCTATGTCTAATATTTTGACCGAATTTCATTCAAATCCATGTCCAGTCTCAATACTATGTTTAGCTACTACTGACGTATCTACTTGTCCATTCCTGACATAATTGATGTGTTCTTTAATTCTAGTCATCAATTGTCTTTTGGTTTGTCCTACATATGATGATGTGCATTGTTGACAAGAAATGTGGTAAACAACATTTTTTTGTTTGTTTAATGGAACTGGGTCTTTGTGTATTTTAATATATTTTGATAACTGGTTTAAATTACGATTGGATTGATCTTTTTGTTATTGATTTTGATATGTTCTAACTTATTGTTATGATTGTAAATGTAAGGCAATACAAAAAAGAATTTATTTGTTTCATCATCCTCCGTAGAATTTATGATATGTTTATTTAGTTTATTTGTGAACAACACTCTTAATCTCTTATTAATTATTATAAAAATGAAACGTATTGGATAATTATTATTTATTAAAATGTTGATAAAAAAATGTAAATTTTTATTGTGGAATTGAGGATCTGATAAAAGTATGGCTCTATCAACAAGAGAGTAAACAGTGCCTATTTTATGGCTGAGTGGATTCTGTGAGAGATAATTTAAATAACGGCCGGAATAAGTTGGCTTGTGGTATTACTCGCAAATCAACTTATTGTTGTCTATCATGATTAAAGTATCCAAAAAATTAAGTGTTGTTTTCTTGTGTTTCATAAGTGAACTGTAATCTTGTGTGGAACGAATTGAAAGTTTGTACTACTTGTTACGTCCTGGACTTCACGTCCCCTTTTTTTTTGCAACGTGAGAACGATCTTTTCGTTCTGAGAATCATAATAATTGTAGCTTTAAGAAACCGAGATG